AGAGAGAGTGGGAACTTCCCAGAACATTGTATTGTGCCACGCCCAACAGAAATAACCCAGGTGGGCGACTTTAAAATCAGGATCTCCTCCGTAGCTAATAGCAATTCCCACCTTAGAGTTTACAAAGACTTATGGGTAGAAAAGCCACACTAAGTAATTTACTACACCGCAGGGGGAAAACACTAATAAAGTCAATAATATATGTAAGCTACCTCATTACATTGTAGCAGCTTACTTTTGAGCTGAGAGCTACCTTTTTTTCAAAAAAACTTTTTATTGTGATTTGGGTGAAATTTTACAGAGCAGATTTGTTTTCTATTCAACACTTCATATGCACTTTCTTTTGTGACACTGAATACAATCCTACAGTTTAACAGCTCTCTTCCCACTTTCTTCTGATTACCCTTTCCCTGTGTCCTTCTTATTTATAGGCTTTCTGGTGACGTAGTGCCTAAGGCATTTGACTGCTAAGCAGAAGGCTGGTGGTTCAAACCTATCAGCCATTCCTTGGAAGGAAGGTTGGGCAATCTCCTTCCGTAATGATATTCTTAGCTGGGAGTTCCTGCCTCTCTAGTTTTTTCCCTGTGCAAATGCTGCCTTTCTGATCTCCCATGGTAGATTGTTCTAAGGAGTACATCTTTCTGGTATAATTGTTCAGCTTTTAGGCCTTTTGTTTGGCTGAGAGTTAAGCCACAAGAGTGAGTCTAATTCCAGGCACAAAGGATGACTAGGGGCCATACTCTTGGGGATTTTACCAGTCCCTATCTGACCAGTAATTCTGGTCATTTTTATATTTTTGTAATTTGTTCCACATTTTTCTCCCACTCTACCTAGGATCTCTTACCCCTTTCCAAGTGGTTGGCATTAGTAGCCAAAACCAAAACCAAACTCACTGATCCGACTCATAGTGAGCCCTCTTTGGGTTTCTGAGGCAGTATAACTACGGAAGTAGATTGCCCAACCTTCCTTCCGAGGAGGGGCTGGTGGGTTTGAACCACCAGCTTTCTGGTTAGCAGTCAAGAGCCTTAGGAACTAGGCCACCAGAGCTCCTATTAGTAGCCAAAACCAAACCAAACCAAACTCATTGCCATCGAGTCAGATCTGACTCATAGCGACCCCTCCTTGGGTTTCCAAGGCAGTATCACTACAGATGTAGATTGCCCAACCGTCCTTCTGAGGAGGGGCTGGTGGGTTAGAACCACCAGCCTTCTGGTTAGCAGTCAAGTATCTTAGGCACTAGGCCATCAGGGATCCCATGAGTAGCCAGGCACCATTTAAATCTGATCTCAGGGTCATGTAGGCTGAGGCTCCCATGGTCTGTTAGTACCTTGGACTAATTGTTTCCACACGTCTTTGAGTTTCTTCACTTTTCTTTACTCCAGATGAGGAGAGACTGGTAGTTGTATCTTAGATGGCCACTCATAAGCTTTTTTTTTTTTTAATTTTATTTTGATTTGGGTGAAGATTTACAGAGCAAATTCACTTTCCATACAGCAGTTCACATATACTTTGTCTCATGTCA